CTCGGCGGGAAATTTTTAATTTCCATTTTCTGTCGTCTAGGCCTTCTTAGCCTTTTTAATAAGGAGAAATGGAGCGAAATGATAAATGAGATTTCGAGACTCAAAGTGAAGGTCAAATGTCGCACGTGTCATATTTTGTGAGGGTCAAATGCCGCCAAGGTCCTATCTTGCGAGAGTCAAACGGAGCAAGAATCATAACTTGCAAGGGTCAAACGCTCACAAGGGTTAAAGACCAGAGACAGGCAGGACAATCTCAAAGGTCAAAAGACCACAAGAATTGACCGGGAGAAGCAACAGAACAATGAAAAGTCGGAAGTTCATTAATGAATTGAAATAATCAAGAGACTTTGCCATATGACCCTAGCCCTGCCTGCCTCTCGCGTTTGATCCTGGTTACTGTCCTGGCTACCTCTGTCATTCGACTCTTGTACGTTTGTCATTCGCAAGCTGTGGTACCTACGACGTTTGACCTTCGCAAGATAAAACTGGAGAGCCTTTTAGGTGTTTCTATTTTTCAAAAATGTTCAATTTCGCTTGATAAAAGGACGATACGAGACGATATGGGCCATTTTCGATACAAGTCATTTTTTAAAAATCGAATTTCAATTAGAAGTTCGATACGATACAATATTTGAGGAAATATTGTATCGTATCATATCGCAGCATCTGTAGTCCATTCGAAATGTCTGATTGGTTCAATGGCGAGAAAAGTAACGTCCAGACTCGAGAATAGGCTCTCGGAAAGTTTTCAAAAAGTCTAGATCGATTTGGTGTAAAATTTCAGGTTAGGGCATGGCACAAGGTCAGCAGCTTCGGCCAGCTGTTCGAGTTTTACTGATAATGTCAGATAGCAGGGGTAGCAATCTGCTGTGGAGGAGCTCGTCAGAAACCTTGCACTCAGCTACGTCCCTCATTCTTTTCAGGCGTTGGCTTGGCTGAATTTCCAAGCTCAAGTTCTGTCAACAGTTTGTGGAAGCGTCGGTCAACTCATTCGGAGACACGTTTTGGTATTTGTTCTTTTGGATAATGACACTCATCTCTGCCTAAAAGTAGTTGAATGATGTCAGAGTGATCTTAAATTGCTGGCTCTTCGGCGCCTTGAGTACAGCATCGTACTTGCTATTATCACTCGCGATGCGTCTGTTTCTGAGTTGTGTCTCGATTTGTGCAAACCACGCGACGGGATCTTCACTGACGAACGTGATGAGCTTAAAGTTCCACAAGGCCATGACCTGGAGCTCATCAAATGCCTGCAGGTTGATGCGGTTCACATCAAACGAGACATTGTCATGTGGATTGCCTGCGCTAGCAGGGGATGCAAGAGCAAAGGACCGAGGAGATTGTCAAGTTGTGAATATGTGTGATTTTGTTACTGATCCATTCGAGACTGTGCTGATGATACTAATAGAAATCGTTGTACCTGATGTTGTTGAATTTGATTCTATTGCACCTCATTTAGCTGGATCAGGTTGTGTGGAATCCGGTTTTGCTGAATCTGATTTTGCTGTGGTTGTTATTAATTATTCTGTCCGCTGTTAGGTGTAGGCGAACGTGCCAAAGGTTGGCGTCTGCGTTGAGGCACGTGACTGAATCGGAGTTAGATGGTTGCGTTTACGTATCACCGATTATGGAGATATTGAGCACTTATCAGCAAACTATGTTCATTCGGTCATACAATTATTAACTAATATTTGGAATACAAAAGTTGGAACGCCACAGCTGTTGTGGTATAAACGAGATACGTGGGAAAACTGATAATGATAGGTGGGATAATATGGTGCGTCTTCCGCGTTTCCGTTAGTCATGCTCACAAAAATTTACATTTAAATCTTCTCATGTTAGATGCGGTCAACAGCACTGTTAGTCCACAGGAGAGGTTGTCAGAACAGCAGTACAACCGCTCCATGGCTCAACTTTGTAGTCAAACAAATGCAGCTGCCGGTGTATTACCTAAGATAATCGAGGAAATAACTCCAACTAACTCAGAGACCGACAGTGAGCCTGAGGATTCATCCAAAGATGTAGGGGGAACAGTGAGGAATGCTGTGGCAGAGACACATAGGGAACTGCATGCCACAGTCCCACCACAGTCTGTGCAGTCGGGAGGAACAAGCCGAAACTCTGAAGGAGTAACTGGATTCAGCGCGAACGACCAAATGCAAGATGAAGGTGAGAAGCTGGACGACACATGCGCGCGCGCAGTTATTTCCCGGCACTTATTCTCTCCACACTTATCCTTCTGTACTCACTGCGACACTTATTCCACACACACACATATACACTCCGCCAGGGTGAAGCCCAACTCTTACGGCGGCGCGTCTCCAGGTGGTAGATAGGGGGTGTCCTCTGGGCCGGTGGGCTGACCACTGGGTTAGCTTGCTGACCGCTCGGCTGGCTTGTTGACCGCTCGGTCGGATTGCTGATAGCTGGGTTGGCTCACATGCCCAGCAGGGGATTGGAGCTTCGCTTCCGCGGATAAAAAACCGGGGTGCAGGGTGGGTTCCCTATAACAGCCTTTAACAAAGAGAATCGGGAGGGCTTCCGTCAACAGCCTGGATTTGCAATGAATAGTAATGACAAAAGGCAAAGTTCCCATGCGGGCATACCGGATAAGGTTAATCCTGTCACCAGTTCCGATCGGGTGCAAGCCCCGGTGGCCGGTACTGGCTCCATGGATTGTGGGAGGAGCCAAACATCACCTCCTGCAAAGGTGGACCCTTTGGCCTCAGATGCTACAAGTGGGGGAGGGTCTCAGACCCAATATGAGAAATAACCCAATATGAGAAATAAATAATAATATGAGAAACAATGGCTTCCAGCATTCAAGCGACTCGGAGCACTCATCTATGACCTACAGAAGTGTGTCCAGCCTAAGCAGAACATCCACAAGGAGATCAAATCCGAAGTGGTTGCCGTCTGCAGTGCCTTCAAACGGCTGGAGGATCTGGAGAGGGCACGCGCTAAAGCCCAAACCTCAGCTGCTGAGGCGGTCCAAATGACGAGACCGACACTGCTACTGCCCTCACGTAGGGGCTCTGAAACGAGGTCTCGGACATGGAGGACTCGGACATCGGGAAGAATGGTAGAGAGATTCGCACAGCACTACGGAGGAAACGGGAGCTGAGAGAATAACCTGAAATTGCGGGCAAGAACACCAAGAAACCAAAACAGCAGGGATTGCCACGACGGACGGAGCACCCGAGCTGTCTAACGCTGAGCCTTCCCATTGATGAGGTCACCGATTTCCTAAATAGACTGACTGAGGATGCGAAGCAGCACTTTCCCGTGACAATAGCCGGGGACTTCAGTGCCTGGGCAGTCGACTGGGGAAGTAAGGAGACTAATGCCAAAGGACAAGCCGTACTGGAGGCCATGTCATTGCTGGACTTGGCCTTGTTTAATAGCGGCGAGGAACCAACCTTCATGAGAGGAGAGGCAAACTCAATCGTAGATCTTACCTTCGTGATCAACAACCTCGCAAAAGGAAACTGTTCATGGGAGTTAATCGAAATATAGGACACAGCAAGCGACCACCGTACGATACTCTGGGAGGTTTCCACCGGCCAGAGACGCGGACCCGCACCGGAGAAGACTAACGCAATAGGCTGGAAAATGAGCTCCTTCGATCCTAGTATCTATTTAGTGGTACTGGACGATCACCCAATCAGTGGCAGTAATGCCACTGAAAAGGCAATGAACATCATGAGGAGACTCACGGAAGCTTCCGATGCCACCATGCCCAGCAAGCGAGCCATCAACCGGCGGCCACCGCTATACTGGTGGAATAATACTATCGCGAATTTGCGTAAGGAATGCAACGCAGCAAGAAGATCATCTCAGCGCGGCCGCAAGAAGCCGAACTTTGAGGAACTGGAGACGAGGTACAAGAAGTCACGCCATAAGCTCAACAAGGTCATCAACCGCAGCAAAGCACATTCCGTGGGGCAGGCCGTACAAGGTGGTGATGACGCGGCTCAAAAGCCAGCCCATGCTATCGCCGACGTGCCCGAAGCTCTTGGAGACGATCGTCACGGTGCTCTTCCCACAACAACCTGGACTCCAGCGTGTCGANTGCGGCCGCAAGAAGCCGAACTTTGAGGAACTGGAGACGAGGTACAAGAAGTCACGCCAGAAGCTCAACAAGGTCATCAACTGCAGCAAAGCACATTCCGTGGGGCAGGCCGTACAATGTGGTGATGACGCGGCTCAAAAGCCAGCCCATGCCATCGCCGACGTGCCCGAAGCTCTTGGGCACGATCGTCACGGTGCTCTTCCCACAACAACCTGGACTCCAGCGTGTCGACAAACGAGGAAAACCGTTGATGGTCCCACCAATCACTGAGGATGAGCTGATAGAGGCATGTGATAGGGTCGGGAATACCAAGGCCCTCGGTGTTGATGGGATTCCCAACATTGTGCTGAAAGCCGCTATCCATGCGCTACCAGGCCTATTCTTGGACGTGTACAACGAGTGTCTCAGCGAGGGCACCTTCCCTGCAAATTGGAAGCAGCAGAGGCTGGTGTTACTCCCGAGAGGGAAAAAGCCACCGGACGAACCTTCATCCTATAGTCCCCTTTGCATGCTCGATGCAGCTGGTAAGATCCTCGAGCGCATCGTCCACAGGAGAATAGAAGCTGCAGGTGAACCATTGCTGGCCAACAATCAGTACGGCTTTCGGAGAGGCCGATCCAGCCTTGAAGCCATTAACCTAGTTGTTGACACTGCTAGGGAAACGACTGCAGGGAAAAGATATCACAGAGGCAGGAAGAAGTACTGCTTAGTAGCGACGCTGGACATTAGGAACGCCTTCAACTCCCCCAGATAGGACTGCATTTTGGAGGCCCTCGAGAGTTTTGGCGTGCCTGAATACCTTCGGATGGTGGACGATTACTTCACCGGTAGGGTTCTCAAGTACGACACGGAGTGTGGCCTCAAGGAGAACAAAGTCACTGGAGGGGTTCCTCAGGGCTCGATACTGGATCCTCTCCTGTGAAATATCATGTACGATGGCCTGCTGAAGCTGACACTGCCACCCGATGTGAGTCTCGTAGTTTTTGCCGATGATGTGGCCATAGTGATCGTGGGAAACCAACTGGAGGACATCAAACTTGCCTTCGAAATGACTTTTGGAGCGGGTCCGCGGTTGGACTCGGTTGGCCTGAGTCTGGCTGAGCATAAAACCAAAGCCGTGTTGATTACAAGTAGGAAAGTCTTAGAGAAAAAAATGCTGCGAGTAGGGGGCTATGAGCTCACATCCCAGCCCTACATTCGGTACTTGGGGGTGATGATCGATGCCTGGCTCAACTTCAAACAGCAAGTGGAGCACGTGACCAATAAGGCATCCAGGGTTCGAGTCGCCTTATTATGCCTCATGTCCAACATTAGATGTTCCAAGCAGAGGAGACGAGCTTTACTGTCGTCGGTGATTACGTCAGTACTCACCTACGGCGTCACTATTTGGGCGGATGCCCTCCAAGTACAAGAGATCCGACGCAAAGTGGCAGCTGTTTAACGACTGAGTGCCCTCAGAGTTGCCAGCGCATACTCCATTGTGTCCGAGGATGCAGTCTGTGCCATCTCTGGGATGCCGCCAATTGACGTATTAGCCAAGATACGAAGATCCCTGTACCGGCAGACAGGATTGGGTATACTGAACACGGCAGAGCTCAGTGTAGAAGATAGATAAAACAGCTTGCACCGATGGTAGCTGCAGTGGAACGCCTTGTGCAATGGGAGATGGACGCACCGTCTGATCCCGCCGGTGTGAGTCTGGCTAAATCGCACTCATGGAGGGGTTAACTAAGAGATAATCCGGCCTTAGAACTTGGTGGAAGCTATGATATCATCAGAACAAGTCTGGAACGAAACGAGCAACTTTGCTCCAAAAAGAGAAGCGTATACTCCGGAAAGAGGAAAGCATACGGAAAAATGCAGATTGGATAGAAAGCTACCAGGACTTCATACTCACACCCAATATCTTAGTGAGGCAGGGGTTGTACGGCGGACAAACAACTATGAGGAAGGGCTATAGTCAAGATCTCCCTCGCGAAGTAATACCTGATGGTAGCCTAGAAGGTTTGCTGAGGAGGAGATATTGTTTTGTCGGGACAGGCCCGACACAGGGTGTTAACACTCTATCGTGCGTTAGGCATTTTTTTTCCTCTTCTCGAAGAAAATCAAAAAATGAAACATGAAAAAAGTACACACACACGCTGAGGGAAGGAGGGAGAGCGAGGGAGAGAGGGGGGGAGAGAGAGAGAGAGTGGGAGAGAGAGAGAGAGAGAGAGAGAGAGAGAGAGAGAGNGCTGAGGGAAGGAGGGAGAGCGAGAGAGAGAGGGGGGGAGAGAGAGAGAGAGAGAGAGAGAGAGAGAGAGAGAGAGAGAGAGAGAGAGAGAGAGAGAGAGAGAGAGAGAGAGAGNTGATGTTTCTACGGTACACGCGGCTAGCACCGGAAACGAAGGGGAGAAGAAACGCCAAAGGAAGAGCCTACTGACTGGGAGATCGAAGGACACAGAACAAGCTGAGAACGTAAGTCGCGTTCCGCGACATTCTCCAGAGGGAACCGCAGGAACGGGTTTGAGGGAAAAAACGAGTGAGGAGGGCGGCGTAACGGACGGATTCGAGGATGTTGAAAGTGCCGCTGCTGACAGTGAGGGGGAAACCGGCAGTATGACAGGTCCGGAAGAGAGGAGGGATACCGGGAGCCCAACGGCCGCTGCGAGGAGCATGGCAGAAGGGGAGGAAGTGAACATGGAGAGGGATGCCGGGAACCCAACGGCAGATGCGAGAAACACAGAAGAAGAGAAGGGAGAGAAGGAGAAGAAGAAGAAGAAGAAGGAGATCGAGAAGGAGAGGGAGAGGAGGAAGGAGAAGGAAAAGGCGAAGGAGAAGGAGCAGGAGAGAGAGAAGGAGGAGAAGAAAAAGGAGAAGGAAAAGGAGAAGGAGCAGGAGAAGGAGAGGGAGAGGGAGAAGGAGCAGGAGGAGAAGGAAAAGGAGATCGAGAAGGAGCAGAAGGAGAAGGAAAAAGAGAAGGAGATCGAGAAGGAGAGGGAGAGGAGGAAGGAGAAGGAAAAGGCGAAGGAGAAGGAGAGAGAGGAGGAGAAGAAAAAGGAGAAGGAAAAGGAGAAAGAGATCGAGAAGGAGAACGAGCAGGAGAAGGAGAGGGAGAGGGAGAAGGAGCAGGAGGAGAAGGAAAAGGAGATCGAGAAGGAGCAGAAGGAGAAGGAAAAAGAGAAGGAGATCGAGAAGGAGAGGGAGAGGAGGAAGGAGAAGGAAAAGGCGAAGGAGAAGGAGAGAGAGGAGGAGAAGAAAAAGGAGAAGGAAAAGGAGAAAGAGATCGAGAAGGAGAACGAGCAGGAGAAGGAGAGGGAGAGGGAGAAGGAGCAGGAGGAGAAGGAAAAGGAGATCGAGAAGGAGCAGAAGGAGAAGGAAAAAGAGAAGGAGATCGAGAAGGAGAGGGAGAGGAGGAAGGAGAAGGAAAAGGCGAAGGAGAAGGAGAGAGAGGAGGAGAAGAAAAAGGAGAAGGAAAAGGAGAAAGAGATCGAGAAGGAGAACGAGCAGGAGAAGGAGAGGNATATTAACGAATATTCATTTGGTCATATTCAACTTTACTATTCGTTAATAGTTAACGAATCTCGTTTGGAAGAATTGAATCATTCTATCAGTGTAGAATGATCACAATCCACGTATCTCCCCCGTTCGCCCCTCATTAGCACCGTTTAACCCTTTAGATCACTCTACTCGTTTCTTCAGTTCGATGATTGTGATCACTTTTAGTTATCAAAGTAGGTAATTTTTTTATGTTGTTCTCCGATACTGCATCATAACAATGTAACTACAGGTACTCATTGGCTGACTTTCAGCTGTTGAGACTCTGATCCAGAAGTATTCAAAATTAGTAATACGCAAGTGATTTTAATGATCTCACGTAATTTCACTAATTGATTTTATCATGAAGTAACGCCATGATTTCAGGAGCGAGTAGCCCCTCGCAAAATCAGATTCAGGAAATGTACTTTCGAGTCAGAATCGTCCGTTCGTTCCAGAGTCAGTTGTATGGGCCCATAAGCGCGCTATGAGTCGCATATAATTAACCGAACTACCAATTCAGACTTCAAAATACTTTTGCAGGCTTAGCCTCAGTCTTGAAGAACAGAACCTCCTCATCTCGATTGCCTTATTCTGCCTTTCATGCGTGTCGTATGTTATCTGATTACACTTATATTAATACATCAGAAAATGAGTTCACTGGAATGTCATTATCGATTTCAGTGCCAGCTCAAATAGAGGGCGTGGTGAGGGTGAAGAGGAGGGAGATTAGAGAAATGTGCAGAGGAGTACAAAGGGATATGATGACATCTGAGAAAAGATTGGAAAAGAGCACTTACCAAATTCGCCATACGTTTTGACTATTAATTTTCAATACTCGTTTCTTTATTTTTCTGTTTCTTGTTAATTAGTTCGTATTTGCCTTTGTGTTTGCCTTTTTTAATTGATGAATTAAATTTTGTTTATAATAATAAACTTTCTTTGGACTTTATTCATTTCATCGATCAAATAGATACGGCTATTCGCTTCCCAGGAAATGATTTGCCAGTAAATTTTCGGCTATCTATCGGTTTTATCGGAGATTTTTACATAGAATCGCTAAAAATTAATTGTTGAGATGGATGGAAAGTAATGTTCTCATTAAAACCTGAATTGAATTGTATTTTGATGAGTTCATGGATTTAGCCCTTCTATAGGATCGAATCAATCTTGGTCTAGAGTCACCCAAACTCCATGGACGCGATATTTATTAAGGAGCTTCCACCGAATTTTTCAATTACCAAAGAATCAAGATGGGCTTTTCAAACAGTTCATAATATGAATCCCTGACAATGGAAAAGTAAGTTCTGAAATCACTTATTTTAACAACCCAATAGTTTCGTAGATTGGAATATCTTTCGATAAACAGGACGATAATTTGTTTATTCTCGTATTGTCAAAACAATACAATACGATATTCATTACACAAAAATTTACGATGTTGAAAATCTCGACGGGAAATTTGTAATTTTTTTTTTTTCTGATGTGTGGAGTTTCTCTCCGTGTTTCCAAGGAATAATGGAGCAGAATAATGAATGAGACTCCAGAACTTCATCATAAGGATTTAATCTTATCGAAGGAACAAATTTATGTCGAACTAAGAGTCAAACGTTGCCAGGATCATGACTTGCGAAAGTCGCAGTATCATACCTCGCAAGAGTCGAACGTCACCAGGGTCATATATTGGGGGGGTGAAATGTCGCCACGGTCATACGATCTTGCGAGGTTCCAATGTCGCTGGGATCAGACGTTGCGAGGGTCCAACGGCGCAAGGATCATCTCAAATTGTGAGGCTCAAACGTTCACAAGGGTTACACAATAGCGTCAGGCAGAACAATCTCAAGGGTCAGAAGACCACAGAGGTCAACCGGGAGAAGCAAGCAAGGCAATCAAAAGGGTCGAAAGTTTATAAATCAATTGAAATATACAGGAGACTTTTCTATTTGACCGTTGCCCCGCTTGCCTCTCCCGTATGATCTTGGGGATTGTTCTGCTTGCCTCTGCCATTTGACCCTTGTTGTACATTTGTCACTTCCAAGGTAAGATCCCTGCGACGTTTATTCTTTGCGAGGCAAAACAGGAGAGCCTTTTAAATGTTTCTATTATTCAAAAATTTATTACTCATAAATTTCATTCCGAACAATGATAGTATTATCAAGGTCATGCGTATATTATGGTGCGTGAAGGTGGACTTTTTCGCATGTACGCGTAACACGTCCTATTTTGTGTAACACCTGGCGAGTTCACTTATCGGGGATGCAATGGAGATAAAGTGTTTGTTTTTTGCACGAAAGGTCAAGGTCGTGTGTACAGTAAATTTTGAGGGCGTAAAGCGGAGCCCGACACATAACCTCGGAACTCTTCGCACGCCGTATAAAAAACAAACGAAAAAAAAAGACATGTGGGATGTCTCAAAAGCAACACCAGAACCTAATGAGTCCCGCAAATGTTTTCAGGGTCAGGCCCAAACCCATGAGACCCCAAAAGAGGTAACTCGAAAGACTCAAACGAAACTCTTCTGAATGGTCAGGCTGAAGCCTCATGAGGCCCAGAAATAAACATTTTTCATAGTCAGGCCCAAAACTCGTGGGGTCCCAAAAAGGCCCATAATTGATAATCCTAAGAATCTAACTCGCAATGATGAGGCTCGAAAATTTCATTTCCAGAAGATATTTCAAAGACGAATTTTCGGCTTTCGAAGATCTTTCTAAATTTTATCTGAAAGATATCTTAAAGACAAATTTTCAGCTCTCGAAGATCTTTCTAAATTATATCTGAAGGATATTTCAAAGATAAATTTTCAACTTCGAAGATCTTTCTAAATTTTATCTGAAAGATATCTTGAAGACAAATTTTCAGCTTCCGAAGATCTTTCTAAATTTTATCTGAAGGATATTTTAAAGACAAATTTTCAGCTTTCGAAAATCTTTCTAAATTTTATCTGAAAGATATTTCAAAGACAAATTTTCAGCTTTCAAATAATCTTTCTGCGCCACAAAAAAGATCTTTCAAAAAATAATTCAAAGATTTTCACAAAGATCTTTAGAAAATCTTCGAAAGACTGGAATTTTTCTACCCGGGATTGCACGCAATTCGCTATGCAATTTGCAATTTGCTAGTTGAAAAAAGACACGTAAGTAAAAATAGAGGGAAAAGAAGAGAATTGTTGGTGGAATCCTTTGATTCTGTAGATGAATTATACATGATAAAATAAATTCACAAAAGCATCAAAGGTTAAGACAAATAGGTTAATTTTAGCAATCACTCTATTATGCGAGTGCTATCGATTCATAGAATACAATAAATACCAAAAAATCATGTTGGCCACTAGCCATATAGCTTTTCCCGGGTAAAAAAAACCGTCTTCTGAAGATTTTTCGGAATATCTTTGGGAGAAATCTTCCGAAAGTTTTTGGAAGATCTTTTTGGTGATATGAAAAAATCTTCCAAAGATGGAAATTCATCTACGAAAGATATTTTAATTTTTTCATTTTAGATCTTCGGAAGATGGAATTTAGTCTTTAGAAAATCTTTCGAAGACAATCCACAAGAATCTTTGGAAGACAAAATCTTGTCTTCCAAATATCTTCCACAGGCAACCTAGGGGAATTGTGTGAAGAAGACAATTTTCATGCGAAGGTTCTGTCCACACATAGAAATAGTGGATTGACTTTGGAATGGAGGTTCTAGATTCTAGAAATTCCTCTTTTCAACATTTATCCTTGGTGGGGTAATGAACCTAACGAATTTAGGGATTGTTTTTAAGAACAAATATTTTCTACAACTAATGCTGATTTTTTCTTGATATGCAAAATTTTCAGTTTAAACTTAAAAATGGCGGTCAAGGTATTTAAAGTTGTTCAATTTTAAAATTGCTCGGTTTTGAAATTGGTCCATTTTGAAGTTGTCCAGTTTCGAAATACGCCAGTTTTAAAGTGGTACAATTCTGAAGTTGATCAATTTTTAAGTCAGTCTGTTTTGAAGTTGGTTAGCTTTTAAGTTGGTCAGTTTGAAAGTTGGTCAGAAAAAACCTAGTTACAAAATTAAGGGTCAGTAAAAATAAGGGGCAGAAAATATAAGAGTCTCAAGTTTCGTCTCGATTCCCCTGTATGAACCCCTCCGCCCATATGTGAACCCCCCACAGACTAACCTCATATATGTGGAACCCCCCATTAATAAAGCCCTCCCCCCCTCCTTAACCCCGTTGCATGTACGGGATACTTTTTATACTTACGTCCTTTAAATACCTTGACCGCCATTTTTAAGTTTAATTTGAAAATCTTGCATATGAAGAAAAAATCAGCATTGGTTGTAGAAAATATTTATTCTTAAAAACAATTCCTAAATTCGGTAGGTCCATCACCCCACCAAGGATAAATGTTGAGAAGAGGAATTTCTAGAATCTAGAACCTCCATTCCAAAGTCAATCCACTATTTCTATATATGCGGACAGACATTTCGCATGAAAATTGTCTTCTTCACAAAACTTCGAAATTTATTCACATCAAAGTTCTTCAGTTTCTAAATGCTCTCACTTGAAAATGTCCCAACTTCAAAATATCTCCACTTCGGAATGTCCCAACTCCAGAATTTCGCAACTTAAAAAATATTTCTTCTTCAAAATTTCTCAACTTGGAAATGTCGTGACTTCAAAATTTTCCCAATTTTAATATTGATCCACCTTAAAATTTTCAAGTTTCAAATTTCTCAACTTCAAAAATGATTCACTTTAACATTTTTCCAGGTTCAAAGTTGACACACTTCAAAACTCTTCAACTTCGAAATTGTCCCACTTCGAAATTCTTCAACTTCAAAGTTGACCCACTTCAAAATTCTTAAACTTCAATGTTGACGCACATCAAAATTCTACAACTTCTGAGTTGACCTACATCAGAATTCTACAACTTCAAAGTTGACCGATTTCAAAATTTCTTAATTTCTTCGAAATTTTCCAACTTGAAAATTTTTCAACTTCAAAATTTTTCCACTTCATAATTTTTGGACTCCAAAATCTTCTTACTTCAAAAATTCACAACTTTGGGTTTGACCCACATCGAAATTGAACAACTCCTAATAGAACCCCGTTCAAATTTGACCCACCGCGAAATTTCCCGAATTGGTCATGACGCATTAGACATATAGATAATGTTTCAGTCTGAATATCAATTCCATCAATCTCATCACTAATCAAATGCAACGTCGGAAAAAATTACCGGTTCGGATAGGAATTTTCATTTCTCTATAATTTTAAAACTATTGCGAAACCCTATTTGGAACTTGCAACGAATGTAAATATTAGTTGTACAAATTTGGTATAAAAATTTGAGATTTTTAGAAAATGAAGTTTCAGAGTTATTTACGTTTTTTGAGAAAACTTGTTTTGACGATTACGTCGCTAAAAATGGATGGAATATACTTTTTCTGGGCTCATTTTGAAGGGTTTTAAATATGCTATGAGCTCCTTGAAATGAAATTTTGATATACACAAACT